GGCGCTCTGGGGGGGCCCGCCGCGTCTCTGGGGCGCTGTCGGGGCTGGCGCGGGCAGAGCTTGCCCGGGGGGTCCCCGTCGCTCCGCCGCCTGCTCGCTCAGGCGTGGCCCTGTCCCCCTCGGGCCGAGGCCCCTTCCTCCCCCCTTGCGTCTCCCCGGTGGGGCTGGGGACTGTGGTGGTGGAGCACAGGAGACTTTGGCCGCTCTGGCCCCGCAGAGCGGGGTAAGGCTTAGCCCTTGCTGGCACCACCACACCCCACTTCTCCTTTTGGTTCCCGAAGCCCCCAGAAGTGGTGTTTTACCCCGTTTTAAACCCCAAAGCCTGCCCTTGAGCGTGACGCTGCCTCACAGCACGAGTGATGCTGACCTCTGTTGCCTCGACTGTGTAAAATCACAGGAAATATTCCCGAGAAAATAAACGACTGAGAGAAAATAATAATAAAAAAAAAAGTACGAACTTACTAACATGCAGTCGGTGAGAGAGGTGAGGAGCACGACTAGTGGAAAAAGTGGTCCCTTCCAGTGTTCGGGGTATATTGTCACTGTTTCTCTAACCCAGTCCTGACAAGGTTGTGTGGGTCGTGGATGTGTTCGTTTCTGGCCTCCGTGTTACAGTGAAGTGGTGGGTGTGGGTGTACTAAATCCTGAGGTTTTTGAGGTGTTTGTGAGGGGAGATATTTAAAAGCTTTGCATGAGAATTGGGACCCATAGACTTTAGGACTGGATGAAGCCACAGCCACTAGAACAGGCCAACATGGAGATAATTTGATAGAATGGAGGAAGTTCAATATATTTTTCCTGTAACTTAGGCTGTCCTAAAACACATTGGTAAGGGTTTGTTTGGGTTTTTTTCTTAAGAAGAGAGGTGCTTTGGTAAATGCTTTTATGGGTCTGCTCATGCAACTTCAGTAATGGAAGCTGCAGACAACATTCTGCACCTGAAAATTAGATTTTATGTTTTTCTCCCACCCTGATTTAATACATAGTGAGATCTGTTACCGAAGATGATAAGAAAAAAGATTGAAGAGTTAACTGGAGTAATTAAATGCTCTGTGTTTTATGGATAGCAGTCATTTCTGAAAATGAAACCAAAAATGAAAATGAAAACACTTTTAGCTGTATTCTTCTCTGTTTTGTTCTCACCTTTGTGGTAAGAAGAAAAGAAAAGATTTTTATGGAAGAAGAGATAAGGAAAAAAAAGATTATTGTGGGGAAAACTGCTAATGGCATTGCAAAAAATGCAAGTAACAGTCAAATCTTTCAAACCATGGAAACATAAAGTTTCTTGGATGTTTCAGATCTTGACAGAATATAGACTGAATTCTAATTCTGAAGTTTTTAAGAGTCAGCATTTTCAAATTAAAAACTTCAGCCATTCAATGATGAATTCAGGCTGGGACTAGCCTTGTGCAAATTCCTTTTCCTTTTCCTTTTCCTTTTCCTTTTCCTTTTCCTTTTCCTTTTCCTTTTCCTTTTCCTTTTCCTTTTCCTTTTCCTTTTCCTTTTCCTTTGGAGAGAAAACATTTAATTACTTAAGATAGAATAATGCCTAAGGTGAAGTTAAGGCTGGTAGTTCAATTTCATGGCTAACCTACCCATGTGTAGCCCTTGCCAAGACCTATACGACTTTTCCAACAATTTTGATTAGACAGCAAGATAATGAAAAGAATGCTGATTTTGCACTTTGCAAAACATTACTGTTGTACAATACCGTACCACATATTTCCAGAATAATGTAAGTGGAACAGCTTAGGACAGAGAAATGTGTATCGTTTGTTTCAGGTAAAGGAGATAGCTAATATTAACATCAAGTTTAACCATGTCCTTTTTTTAGCGGCTGTAACAGCATTGTCTATGCTTATTTCCCTGTCCATTTAGCCCTTAAAAGTAAAAGGGCTGTTA